GGATCTTATTAAGGAGCTCAAGATAAATAGCAAGGGCACCGGACCATATCAGGTAGCAATATTCTAAGCATGGACAAATGGTAGACTTATAGATATGTAAGATAGATTCCGGAGAGAAAAATGGAACAACGCGTGGAACAATCTTTTTTTTTAGCAGGGAACTCAGCAGTGGATTCAACATAGTCTTTCCATTTTATGTCATCCGAGAATGTTAGCCCGGGAAGGCTCAACCAGTAACTCCCCTGGAGGTTAGCATTAGCCGTACTGATGAAAGACAGGAAGGTATCTCTCAGATTATTCACAGAGACGACGTGTGTGTGTCTGTGTGAGAGAGAAGACAGAGAGAGAGACTGAGTCGATCGATAAAGCCATTATTAGTCTGAATAAACTTCCTTCTCGTGACGAAACGCGTCAGTTAAGTGTTTTTCTATTTTGTCATTCGATTACCCACTATTAGCCGGATAAATAAATGTATATATAATATATTAGGCATCTTTATCTGTACTACTAATAAAGTAAATGGTCATTAAGTTATTTAGATGTATACGTGAAATAAGAATTGAAATAAATTTTGTATTCAATGTGTTTTTAATCATTTCACACCAAGCAAGGCGATAAAGCCGTTAAGACCCAACGCGTAAAGTGAAGATTCCATTATTGAGGAGAAATGACAATTAAAAGAAAAAGTGTAGGTTTCATGTTATATATGAATAAAATATCGCTGCCGATACTTGAGTTTGAACATAGACCGCCAGTGAACAAACACAGGCGATCCCATTATTGAATTAAGTGGACATCTGGCTTTCTTTACGGTAGCGAATGTTGGACGATTTGAAGAAGAGCCTCGAGGCGACGGAAATGTGGTTCTACAGAAGGATGCTAAGGATATCATGGACCGAGCGTGTGAGCAACGATTATGTCTTAGAGAGGATGCAAATAAGGAGGAGGCTTATACTTAACATCAGGAAGAGGCAGCTGAAGTTTTTGAGACACATAATGAGGAAGCAGGGCGCGGAGAATCTGATACTCACGGGTCGAATTGAGGGAAAGAGAGACAAAGGAAAACAACACATGACATACCTAGCTGGCTTAAGCAATTGGATGACAGAACGTGGTCTGAGAGAGGAAGCAGAGCGAAGGAACTTGTTGAGAGTTGCAAGGGATAGAGGGAGGTGGAGAGCCATGATCGCCTACGTCCTGAAAGGACATGTCTTATAAAAAGAAAGAAAGACCACGTGACCATAAAGAAATCGCATATATAGGAAGTCGCGTGACGTCTAGATAGATCGCTATTTCTATTCTATCCTGTATTACTATTCAGATCGTTATTTCTAGTCTATCCTCTATTACTATAAGGACCGCTATTCTCTACTCTATTCACTATACTATTTGTCTATATTAAGATCACTATTCGGTGGTTACTTTTCGAGCGAGTGTTATCGAGCAAATACTATTAGTGCGAGTGCTATTCGAAGACGTCTAACACCAGTATTGTTCAACGGTGTTACTATAGTTGTATCTGCGATTACAAAGTCTCTACTACAATGAGCATTACGAAAGTGACAACGAGTATTCGTTGGCATTACAAAAGTGGCAACGAATGTTCGTTGACATCAGAAAAATTCAAAACCATAGAAAATGAAGATTGATGTTTCATTTTAATTTTTGAAAATCATACTTGACAGGAAAACACATAGCTAGTAGAGTGTTCCACACGCGAGAGAAGAAACTATTAAAATAGGAATTATGGTTGCACTTAGGCAATTCAACACTAAAAAGATGAGACCTAGCTGCCAATCTAGTACTGTGCTTAAAACTTCTAATACGCTTCAATTATTAAAAAAACGTTTTTGTGTTTTTTTCCTTCTGTGTGATTTGTTAAGACGAGAAAAAGAAAACTAAAATGATATGGCGTTGATTGAACATTTGTTTCAGTTGAACACCTTTAACACCTATGTTTCTTCAGTGACGTAAGCGGCGCGGGTATTCCCCCAAAACTGAATCACACCACATTGAAACAGGATATTAGTCACATAATTTCTCCCAGATTTTTGTATCGAATTAAAGGCAAATCCTCATATCAGAATGGCTCGAGAGTTAGAAATTCATCTAGTCTTTTCTGAAGTGAATCCAAGGCAAATATTTCAGAATTGGTTGAAATTAAAAGATTTATATCTTTTCTGGTATGTCCATGCGTTTTCTGTATCGGCAACATATATGTTTTTAAGAAATTTGACAAATAGAAAACATTTCATTGAAAATAGTTTGAAACTCTGGGAAAATATATTAGCAGATATAAATAAATAATATCGATCAATAAGTATTGGTGTTAAAAAAATAGTGCTCGATGTTGAATAAGAGAGCTATAATTTATATATTAATAATAAAGATTTTTTTTTCTAACCGGTAACAAATCTGTATTTCATGCACAACGATATAAATCAGCACTGGGAAATTGCGATGTGCAACCGATCTGTAAATAAAATGTATACTTATCATTATATATATATATTATATATATATATATATATATATATATATATATATATATATATATATATAACTATGAACCTAAAGAGCCAGGCAAACCTACCTAGGTTCATAGTTAGATTTGCTCTACTTAGTGTATTGAGCACTTTGCTTAGTTATTTTTGCTTTACTCTGAGCTTGGATTCTGGACGATTGTTTTCGCCTGAATTAAGTGTTCTTAGTTCTTTCTTTTTTATTCCTTATTTTTCCTTGGATATTGGTTTGTTCATTTACGAGCCAAAATACCTAAAGTTTTTCCAGACGAGTATAATTACTTATATTTATAAGATTATTATTACCTACCAAGGTTTCACGTAACAGATTTTCAGGGTACTACTGGCTGTAGTGAAGGAGTGAATTAACTATAAATTGCCGACACAGTTTATCTTCTACCTTAAAATATAGTTAAGCTTTAAGAATTACGTATTACCATTTCTTATAGCCATAATTTATGAATATATAATGGTCCAACATCTACGGCTAATTACCCTATTTTCTTTATTCAGCTTTAATATTGCAATGTATTGCTGTTCAGTTAGTATTATTTATATTTTATATAGATATTTCACATTTTTAATTTTATCTGCAGACCCCTTTAAGAAGCTTTCTAAATCTAAAATTGAAAAAAAAATTTTGTTAACTTTACGTCTGATTAACCTACCCCCTCCTCTCAGCGTCCTTTCAAAAAAAAATTAACATCATATTTGTTTGCAAAAACCATGTGAGCTTACTTTTCTATTTAGCGCAGTTCTGACATTTAATTGGTTAATCAAGGCACACCCACCCGTCTATTTTTTTTATTCCGACCTTATGTTCTCCTCCTTTAACTTTCGGAAAAGTGGTAAAGTTTAGTTTTGAAATTTTCTTAAAAATCATTTAATCACCAGTTATTTACCATCGCCTGAAGAAGTACAAACAAAGTATTGAAACATGAAAGCATTTGTGTAGCGATTTCAACATGTTTTATTATAATCTCTTATAGTAAAAAATAATAAATATAACATATATAATTTATCTTTAATAATAATATATACATATAATTAAATTATAATTAAATATATATATATTATTAAAGACAAATTATATATATATATATATATATATATATATATATATATATATATATATATATATAAACATAAACATAGAAGTCAACACTTAGAGGCGACAGTCTGTTTCATGAAACAGAATCGTCAGGCCTGACGATTGCATATGTTCACTTTTATATTTACACACGCTATATCTCTGATATTGAGCACTTTATCCCATAACTGTAGCACACCATAAGACTATATTTCTTTATATATATATATATATATATATATATATATATATATATATATATATATATTTAAAGACAATTTTACTGATTTACTGATCGGCTTTTTCAAATTACGAATAGTCCTTCTCAGATAAAGAAGAAATTCCGTCAAAAATTGTACAAAGTTTATTTCGAAAGAAATGTGGTCTGAGTTTTCATCCTCCACTTAATATCCATTTTTTCTCAACCAAGTATTACTGTTCTTTAACAAGTCTATCTTAAAAATAATCCTGAAAGTTGCAAGTAGCTAAATTCAACATTTTTTTAGGTCAAAACAAGATTAAATAGAGTGGCTGAATTGTCTTTTTTTTTCATTTCACTACAAGAAAGCCAGTAAAGCCACTAAGATGTAAAGGAAGGCAAATAGAATATGAGAAAACGTTGGTGAACAGAATGATAGACAATAAAAGAAAAGGATTCAGAAGGACAAAAGATAGCGATTGAAATGTAGAGGAAAGATTGTATTCCGCCAACATACCAAATACCTTCCAAGATAATGTCTTTTCTTTTTAGCTGGATTACATCACTTCGCTTAGTTTGGCACAAGGCCAATGTTTATTTATTCATTCACAGTGTAACCAATAATGTCATGCTAAATTTCCAGGAACCAGGTCTATAAAGACAGATAATCTTTAGGAATCTATTCTGCTTATTTTCTTTCTAATCTGAGAATGGAAACAAATCACTTTATAATATGAAAAAAAAATTAAACCATTTTGATAATTTAATAGAAAACATTTATTTATTAAGATATTATTCCATATTGAAATTATTTCCTCGTCAGATTTTTGACTCTCGGGCCATCAGATGCGTTATTGTTTCTTACCCAAATTCGGACTGAATCGCTACAGTCCTAAAGATCCAATGGAAGACATATCAAATTTATGACTAAAAGATTTGCCACATTTTTAACTTCAAGACGATTTTTGTCAGAATAAATTACGTTCAGCGCAGAAAATCCTGTTTCAGCTTCTGCAGAATTTACAGCAATGGTATTAATTATATTTTTAGCTATTATATATCGGCTATTAATATATAAGATTATTTGCGGATAATCCAACAACCGGTTTGCTAAGGATTTATAATTTTAAGCATCGATTCGCACGAACCGGTAGAATGCTACTACTGGATGTAACTTTTTATTTTGTAGATGCCGATGTTGAGAAAGTCGAAGACGCCGTTTCTGGGATTATCGACAAAATACCAGTGCCATTTCCAACGCCACACCCAAACGCATGCACCACAAAAGGAATTAGTTGCCCGCTAAAGAAGGGACAGAATTATACCTATACTTCCTCAACACCTGTAGTTGCCTCCTATCCTGATGTAAGTTATACATGAATTATTGAATTTAAAAAAGAGTTTTAAGAATAAAAGGTGTGTTTATTGACTCGGATCAGTTTCCTTCTGCAGATAAATTGGGGGTAAGTTGTTCAAAAGAATCAAGGTATTAGATTGAGTCATAAATAATTCCCGTTTCTGTTTATCGACTTTATTCATCAAAAAATAAAGTAAAATTACATTTTATTCAATTCGATATGCAGCGTTATTTGAAATCACTTGTTGATAAAAAAAAAAAAAAAAGATGGAAGAGACGAGAATATGTCGGCTGCTCATTTTCGGTAGAAGTGAGTAAATAGAAAATAGGATCACCGATATTTTCTTCTTTCGATTAAATTTTCCGAGTGATTAAATCGATCAGATATTACCGCTGTATCACGTTGAAACACCGGTTCTCGCCCGATCGCTGAAGTTAAGCAACATCGAGCTTGGTCAGTACCTAGATGAGTGAACGCTTAGGTGGTATGAGCTTGGATGTGCGGTTGGTGTAATCGATAACATCTCGGAATGAGAAATCGGGGAGCCGAGTTCGAATTCCAGTCAGGTTCATTATATTCACTTACACGCAAATACCCTTGGGAAAGGCATGAATCCACTTCTCCCCCTCAGAATAGATGGTGTATAAATGTGCTGAATCTGGAAGGCTAATTCACTGTTTGATTCTTTTTATGTAGTACTGAGAGCAAGGTATAATAGTGATTTTTTTAATCATTTCATTCCAAGTAAGGCAATAAAGCCACTAAGATGCAAGGGGGTGTTAAAGAATATAGAAAAAGAACGGAAAGAAAACAGAATATAAAAATTGACGTTTCATTTAAACTTTTGAAGGTCAAAGTTGACTGGAAAGCGCGAAGCCGGAAGCAAGAATATGTGAGAGAAGAAACTGTTAACATAGAACATACGGTTATATCTAGCCATTTCAACTTTAAAGTGATGAGACCTAACTGCCAATCTAGTACTGCGCTTAAAGTCAAATTACCAAAGGGGAAAGCTAATCAGAACAATTACTATGAAAATATTTACGGAAAAGGCAGAGAGATGCTACGTTATATCGGTGGGAAAGCGAGCGAAGACGAGATGTCACATTATATTATGCAATATCAGTCTTCCTAAATGGCAGTGAATGCAAGGCCATCTTCGTATAAATGAAGAAGAAACTTGAGCCGATAGAAAAATGTGGTTCTACAGACGGATGCTGAGAATACCATGGACTAAACGGGAGCAATGACGAAGTTTTATAGAAAATGGAAACAAAAAGCACATTTAAACTTAAGATAGAAGGAAACAGTTGGAATTTCTAGGGCACATAATGAGGAAAGAGGGCATGGACAATTTAACACTCACAGGACATACTGAAAGCAAGAGTGACAGAGGAAAACAGCACATTAATTACCTAATGAGCTTGTATCAAAGAATGGCAAAACAGGGTTTAGGAGAGATAACAAAAAAACAATATTTACTAAGCGCTACAAAGGACAGCAAATTGCAGCGAACCATAATCACCAACGTCCCGAAGGGACACGTCAGAAAGAAAAAAAAGTCGGCTGCTTGCTGCTATTTTAATGCTGCTAAACTCATCACGCCAGCAAGAATGGTTTTGTAAATTATTTGCATGCGTTTGTTTAAATATATTTCTCGTAATCCGCTTCGAAGGAAACAAAAATAAAATTTACGTTTGATGTCGAATTTGAAAGCATTAAGGTCAGCAGTAAATTAAGGTAACTTATGGCTAAACTTTTAATCTTTGTTATTGAAATTGGTTGTGAATATTTCTGTAATGTAAATGATTAGAATGTTTTTCTTTGTCTTCCATTTCAGTTGCGGTTGATTGTTAGATGGGCAATTAAAGACACGAATGGAGACTACGTATTCTGTGTGTTGATTCCTGCTGAGCTCAAATAAAAAAGGGGACATTCTCCGACCACGAAATCAAGTCAAAACAAATCTAAGAAAATAAACGAATACCATTTGGCAAAAAGTCGGTATCTATGTGATATGAAATACGAATTAAATTTATGTATAAACAATTTTGTTCAATAAAATACCATCGAACCATTAGAATATTGTATTTTGGTTTGTTTTATCGCTTTCGTCGTTTTTTTTTATAACCATAAATATTAGGAACTTTGTTTTTTATAATTATAAATTATTATGGGCAGTATTTTTTTATAATCACAGATTATTATAAAATGTATTTTTATAGTCCCAAATTATTGTGCTGTATTTTTTAATAATAAAAATGTATTATTAGGTGTATTTTTTATAATTAAAAATTATTATGAGGTGTATTTTTATAACTAAAAATTATGAGTGTAATTTTTATAATTAAAAATTATTATGAACTGTATATTTTTATAATTAATAATTATTATCAGTTGTATTTTTTATAATTAATAATTATTATGAGCTGTACTTTTTATAATTAAAAATTATTATGAAGTGTATTTTTATAGTCACAAATTAGTATGATCTATATTTTTATAATCATAAATTATTATGAACTGTATTTTTTGTAATTACTAATTATTATACATTGTTTCGTCCGCTGGTTTCGTCAAAAAGAGACCCCGAAAATAAGGAAAAGATACACAGAAAAGCAAGAGGAAGACTGTACACCACCAGAAATGAATTTACTTTTATGTTTTGTCTGCCTAGCAATGATAATGGGTAATGTTGAGATTAACTGTTTCCCTGCAGGAAACTTTCTGCATCCGTCGACTAAACAGTCCGTCTTACTGTCAGATGAAATTCATAAAACCCTTTTCATGAAACAAATCCTCATGTCTATTCTTATTGCACGTTCTACTATTGATGGGAGTTTCCTTCCTAACCTTTTGTTTGAGGTAGTGTGTAAATCTACATCTTGATTATATCATTATTTACCTACTAGTACCACGTGCTATTCATTTTAGCTGTTGCTGCTGTTGGAAGTGTTTATTACAGTTATTGGTTTGTGATTGTGTAGCGTCAGTCTATAAGATCTGGTGAAAGATTGTCTTGTTTAAAACCTTGAGAATTCATTCGCCTGGGACCATTTTAAAACATAGATTTGAGTAAACAGTTGTACATCGCTGATAGTTCAGACATTTCTGAACGAGATGAACGCCATGTATGACATCGATATTAGTGTTATATACTGGGTAAGATTGTTGCAGTTTTTTGTGTATATATATGTAACTAGTGAGCTAGCCCAAATGACTAGACTCACTTTATAGTCCACCAATAAAAGGTTAACCAATCAGAAGATGTAGAATATTCAATCCGTGTAGAATATTCAATCCGTCGTGTATAAGGCGGCCATTTTGTTTACTCTATCCGAATGTCCAGTGCCAGCTTGTCAGGCGAAGAGGAACAGAAGGAAGAACTACGCTCTGCTACTTTACTTTTTTTATCCACTGCTAACCTGAACTACGCTTCCCTACTGTCTTCGAAATATTCACTGCTAACCTCTGGATTCTATACTCAAAGACGACCGTCATCATGAACAACAGCTTTATTTTCGAGCTAAATTTAGCAGCGTATTTTTAGGGGGCAGTAGTTTCGTATGTTAGTAATGTTAGTAGCAGCTAAATCTACATAGGTTAGGTTCGTATTTTAATGATTAACTACGTCAATAATTAAATGTGTAAAGTTTTTTACAGGAACATTTTATAGTACATGAAAAAATGGTGGTGAAAAAAAATAGAAGCTCAAAATAAGAGAACAAGTGACTCGCAATGCAAGATAACATTTATTAAAACAAAATTAACAAAAGAAAAGTTTAAAACAAGAGTTTCTTTTGTTAGAAACAATTAGCCTTAACAACTTTAAAGGCTTTATTAGAAATTTAAAATAAAATCAGAATGTAAAATTAATAAACATTAAACCCTTAAAATACATCGTTGCATGGGTCAGTTATAACAAAATTTATAATAAGATATAAGGAAAATGAATACAGGATGGCTTATTCTAGTGGTACTTTTGTCCAACACTGCAATAAGCTACATAAACAAAACATCAACCTAAGAACTGGAGTCATGTTCTTAAATAGCCTCAACAAATTCAATCTCTAATTGTTAGATATCAACACACACATCAACATTCTGTAGTGAACTTAAACATAGTGGTAGTAGTGTTATAGAATAGATTCACAGTGGAGGCCTGTATTTCACTAAGTCGGTCCTAAAAAGGTTCGACGTACAAAACGTTAGGAACTTGATATAATAGTTAATGACGCAGCAATCTAGTTGTGGTGGCTGATACTTTAATGTCGGACATCGACTGACTGACCAACTCACTGAGCCCCCTGGTGACTTCTACTACTCCTACTTATTATAGGTGGGAGAGTCTATTAACAATAGAATAGGTATGTTCCAGTATAACATCCCCCACTAAAACTTTACTCCGTAGGAGTAAAATGTTTTCTTTATTTATTTTTCATTTTTTTTACAGAAAATATGAAGAAAAACAACAAATTTTTTTTTTTAGCAACATCGTAGCGAATTTCCTACGTTTTTTTTATCCACTTTTAATCAGTTTTTATCAGTTGCCTTTTTTTTCTTCTGGATTGGCGTACCTCAGGTAAAATTGTTGCAGGCGTTGTTAAATCAAAACGTATTGAAAATCACCTCCATCGGCGTTTTTTCCGCGGGATCGCTGTCAACCACATTGAAAAACGTCGTCTTATCTGGTTACTGCACGTGAGTTTTTCCCCTTTCACCAAGTACATCATATAGCCAATCCACTTTTCTATTTTTTTATACATCCATATTGTTACCAGAAACAACCTTCCGCTTTGAGCTTCTTAAGGATGGTGTCGCAGTTTCTGTAGGATCTTGTGGATCTATTTGTTCAACCTCTAGCTTCCCTTTTGTTGATCTTGGGCTTCTTAACGTTTTCTGTAGTGACTTCAGTTGACTTAAATCATTTAATAATACTGCATGTCCTTGGTTGCGTGTAACTCGCTCCTCAGTTTTTCTCGGTGTCGATTTCATCTTTACTTTCTGAAGCTTGTTTTTTACGTATATCGTCGGTGTTACCCATTCAACTTTTTTAAATACATCGGTTTTCTCTAATCTGTCTAATTCTTTATCTATCTGTTCAATTGGAGAAAACAGAACATTCCTTTTCTTTTTGAATACCGCCTGAGCGTTTTGTTTTGGCTGTAATTTTGCCTTCATCTTGGTACACGTTCTCAAACCTGGAGAAAAAACAGTAGGAAAACTTCCCTTAAGTTTCCTTACTAATTTTGGGGCTTCTGAGTTTAAACTTTCAAACTTGTAGCAGAAAGAATTTATCGGTAGATCCCATAATTGGAATTCTGTTATCCAATTCGTACCAAGTAAGTTCGTGGTATTTTCTGTGACAAATAGTTTAGCTTTTCGCGTTTTTTTCCAGAATTTTGTTTTGAAACTCCATATGCACCTTTTCCATTTCTCGTTGAAACTGCATCTGTCTATTAAAAGTTTCCTCCTGTAGTTGCATCTGGAATGTTTTCTGTTGCTCTAATATTGTCATCTGTTGTTCCGTCCTGGAATATATTTTTGCATTCCTTCATCTTCGTAAAAAGTTTACACAATGCTTAAATATTGTAGAGGGGGGGGGTCCTAAATGAATTTGCAATTCGTGACCTATTTGAGCAAACTGTCTTATCGAGAAAAAAATTCTTTTCTCAGTTGAGAATACGACTGATTTTTTTTCGTCACTAAGTTGACGTATTGTCTTTCGAAAAACTTTGCCAAGTTTTTTTTTTTTTAAATGTGAATCCGAGATGTCGCCGAAAATTTTACGAGCAAGTTTTTTTTTCTTTTTCCTCCGTATGAGTACAAATTTCATCACCAAATAATGTTGCGAGCGATTTTTTTTTTCTTTCACCGTATGAATCCGAATCCCTCGTACGCCAAGTTTGTTATGGCGGGTGAAGTTTTTTTTCTTCCACCGTATGAATCCGAATACGTTCGTCGCGAAGTATTGTATATGGCGAACGAATTTTTTTTTTGTTTTCTCCGTATGAGTTTCGAATCGTAGTCGTCAAATGTTGTAGAGTGAACGAAAAGTTTGTTTTTTTTTCCTCTGTATGAGAACGAATCCCTCGTCGCCAAAGTTGTTATAGAGTGAACGAAAAGTTTTTTTTTCCTCTGTATGAGAACGAATCCCTCGTCGCCAAAGTTGTTATAGAGTGAACGAAAAGTTTTTTTTCCTCTGTATGAGAACGCCCTCGTCGTCGCCAAAGTTGTTATAGAAAAGTTTTTTTTTTCTCTGTAGTTTATAGACAGTGGGCTTGTATTTCACTAAGTTGGTCCTCAAAAGGATCGACGTACAAAACGTTAGGAACTTGATATAATAGTTAATGACGCAGCAATCTAGTTGTGGTGACTGATACTTTAATGTCGGACATCGACTGACTGACCAGCTCACTGAGCCCCCTGGCGACTGCTACTACTCCTACTTATTATAGGTAGGAGAGTCTATTAACAATAGAATAAGTATTTTCCAGTATAACAAGTAGCAACCCTAAAGAAACTTGTATCAGCTGCAGCTCTCGAATATAATTGCACGTGAACCCTAAAGTAAATCTCTCTCTCTCTCTCTTCCGGGGTTTCCTTTTTCGAACAGTGTGACATGAACTTTCTATTCTGAAACTATGAACTTTCCACTCTGAAGTTATTCATAAATATGTTTGAGTGGGACTTACTTTGTTGGTGTGGTTTATGTGTGAAGCATTCACAGGTCTTTTAGCTTCAGCGTGGAAAGTTCATGTCACACAGTTCGAAAGAGGAAACCTCGGAAGACGGAGAGAGAGAGAGAGAGAGAGAGAGAGTCTATATATATATATATATATATATATATATACTATATAGACTCTATATATATATATATATATATATATATATATATATATATATATATATATATATATATGC